TATAAAGGTATACGTTATAATATAATATTACATGCGGCTGTGATGTGTACATATTATAGTCATATTTATTCTTTTTGATTTGTCATCAACTCGGAGTATTTAATTTTCAGGTGATCGTGATCCGGCCATTTTTGTCAGATTTGCATACGAATAGATGAGCGATGAGCGACGCGTTTTTTAGAAAATTCGCCGACAATGTTTGCTTGCGGCAAACACGCGAAACCATCTAGGAGAACAGTAATCATTGCAGTACGCTCTATAAACTGTCTTACACATCGAGTAGTTTTATTAATACTATTATAATCATATAAGGATCATACAAAATCCATGAGTCTGCAGTGTTTTCAACGGTCAGGTCGCACACATATCAAGGTCAACGACGACTCGTAACTCGAAGACATGTGGATACAATATTATGTAGGACTACATACTCGACAATAATCGATTTACCGTCGTATCCATCTATATGCATAGCCTGCAGCAATGGCCGAGTATACTCGTAATACAGGAAAACCGATCGATCGATGATTCGACTATTAATTGTGACGCGGAATTAAACCCGATGATGATGGCACGGCAAGTCGTGCGCGGGCGCAGAATATCCCACGGCGATTTCGATGGGGTTATTTTTGTGTCATCGTTGATCCGTTCCTTTGAAACGCTTGTTGAACTTTTACGCCGACCTTTTGTCGGGGGGAAAGTCTCCTACAACTACTATTTCTACTACTACTACTACTACAACGCACGACTCGATGATAAGTGAGCGGCAATATGTTTCATGTGTTATGGGGCGCAACGTTATTATCATAGGAGATGTCAAAATTCTGCGATTTTCTCTCACCGATCGGTGTAAAATGTTCAGTCGTTGTTGTAAACTTGTTAACGATAATAATACCAAATATTAATGTTGTGTACCGTTCACATAATAACATAACAGTTTTATTATAATATTTGCAGTCTCCGTACGCAGAGAACAATAGAAAAAAAAAAAAACCGATAATCGAGAACGTTTCTATTCACGACGGTAAAAGCAAAAGAATATCAAAGTAGTAGATATAAACGTCAAAGTTCTTGCGTTTTAGAAGGCGTGTGACTTCTTAACGCAATTCGTAATACGCTTCGAGGTATGAACGTATTGTTATTATATCAATTTAACAAATATTCATATTTTGAGGTAACGAGCAATTTTTTTTTAATAAAATAATTGTTCATCATTTTTTTGTTATGTCTTAAAATTATCAAATAACTTACTCCCGTGAAAACAGAAATCATTTATAAGTACAATTCGTAACAAAAAAATTATAATTTAGTTATTAATATACATTAATAATTTATGTATTATTTTATAAGTATACAATTGATTGTATTATTGCACTAAAAAACAATAATGACTACAAAATTGTATACCGAGTATCAATCATTGGTCAGTTTATCAGAATCGTTTTTAATTAAATTGAGACGAAGTTAAATCATATTCTGTAGGAAAAGGTACAAAACAAACCTTTGATTTACAATTTATACGTCTTAAAAAAATATGAATAGATAATAAAATAAATAAAAATTCTGTGGAACGTTTTCCAGCATATTTTGTAAGTCTTTGTCAAAACAAAGTATTATAACTTATTATATTATACCTATAATCTTATTCAATTATAATTTGCAAGTGTATACGTTATGTGCAGTTAATCACTTTAATTATATACTTATATAACTTTGTATTTAATCAAAACTAAAAAAATAAATATTGTAAGAAGTAAAATGATAATATATAATTGGTTCAATTTTATAAATTTCTATGGGTTAAAAATAGATTAAATCCAAGCATTTTTTCCCTTTTTTACCAGTATTATTTATTTCTTATCTTTAATTAATTTTTATAGCAAACAATTTAAATAGATGAATACTATACATATATAAAAATAGGTATCCAAATTATTGGAAATCTCAATAATATATTTATTGAATTATAAAATACTATTTATTATTTTAGTTATTATTAATAACGAATAAATTAGCATATTAAACTTGAATTTTAAATAATATTATACTTTGTATAGTAAGTAGTAGCAATACTACTGTAAGCTGTGATTGAATTAATTTCATGGTGGATAAAACATACGTAATTATGATATATATAATTTAAAAATTATATTTTCCTGCTTTTAAATCAATAATAAAAATTATAGTCTGATAATTTTATTATCATGTTTTTGTTGTATACTTTTATTTCATAAAATTAGGTAATCTATGTTTTTTTTTTTTAATAGAAGGCAGGATTTATTGTTTTTTAGAGCTAAAAAAACATAAGCATAATTTTCTAAATTTATAGACATTATTTTTTTATTCAATCTTGATTGCTTTTTTTAAATTACAAAGACTCGTTATAGCTAGATAATGATAATAAATAATATTTATATAACTCTGTCTAACAGTAATGTTATTATTTAATGGTAAATAATTTTGAAATTACGTAAGTATTCATCTTCTTTAAATGTTCAATTGTGTATTAAGAATGCTGAATTGCATAAAAAACTATTCATTACAATTTAATGATCCAATGTTCAAGTGATCATTATTGATTCATTAAATTTTTAATAATTGATATTATGTAATCAAGCAAAAAATCAAAAACATTTAAATGTTCTAAAATTCAGAAATTCATTGAAAACTACTTTTAAAATCGTTCGAACATTTTTCTAAATATCTATACAGTTTATTAAATAACTTCATTAAAACTATGTATTAAGCAATTTTGTGTTAAAAATTGTAATCAATATTATTATAGAAAAAATGATTTATGTAAAACACTAAAGTTTAACTGGCTTGACTATTCTTACACTTATTAACTAAAAATCGATTGATAATAACCCTGAGCATTTAAGGCCTGTTAATAATTACATTGTCAGAATTTAGCATTATTTTGTTAAACTTAATATCTGTATCTTTTACTTAATGTACTGATGAATTTTATGAAGTTTGACTCAATTAAAATCTCATATTAAAAATTATACTTATATATATATAATGTTATAATTTAACAAGACTATTTAATTTCTCATATTATATTTTATTAAATAGAGGTTTGATATAATGGTGAATTTTAATTGAATTAAAATTTATTTCATCCTTGTTATTATTATTTAATTATTTAATAAAAAAAATTCAGTCAATCACATTTATGATTTTTTATCTGTAATATAATTAATAAATAAAAATTGTTGTTTTAAATTATTGGAAGAATTTAAAGTTTACATTTGGATTAAGAAATATAAAATAATGAATTTAGTATTTTTTCTTAATTTTGGTTGTGTAAATACAAAAAAATAAACAATATTTAGAAATTAGAACATTTAAATGAAAATCATAATTTTGTTTTATATTACATTTTAATAAATCAGTTTAATTTAGTAATCAGTAATTTTCAAAAAATTGAAAAATATTTATTATTGTACAGTAAAGTCCCGTTAATCCGGACTAGATGGGACCGGACTCTCTCCGGATTATCGAAAATCCGGATTAAACGAAATGACGTTTTTTTTTAACTTACTAATTAATAAACACTATAAATAATAACACAATAAATATGCTGTCAAAAAACACCTCATGTTTATACGAATTCAAAATTTATTGATTTACAATTTTACATTAGATAACATTATTATTTTTATTTGTATTAAGACTTGAAAAACTCCGTGATATTTTTTTGTTTTAAAAATATCACAAATCACAATATATAATCGAAACGATAATATCTTAATTATGGGTATTCCCAATTATATATATATTATACATGAGTACTAAATACGAAACATACATTGTCCGGATTATCCGGATGTCCGGATTAGCGATGACCGGATTAGCGGGACTCTACTGTATTAGAAAAAAATTGAATTATATCACTGTTTTTAATTATAATGTGATAATAGTAAATTATAGTAGGTATTAACAGCTGTATTTTGAGTGGAATTAAGTTTATCCAAAAATGATTAATTATTTTATTTTGTTTATACATTTCGTTGATTTTTTAAATCATTTCTAGAATTTTAAACAATAATGTTGCATTTTTACAATATTTATTTTAAATAATATTGGGCTGATATGTATCAACGAATTTTTTTTTTTGTTTTTGACGACTACCAAAAAATAAATATAAATATTTTGGTATTTTAAAGTTTAAGTATCTAAATCTGTCAGTTCTAAAGGGTGAATTTTATTTTAAGGTATAATGCTTAAATTTAAAATGTTAGACGAGGCTAAAGAAAAAATATTTAAATAAATTACAATATAAATATTATACGTATAATATTTTATAGATTATTCATTTTTTCAGAATATTATAAGAGATTAAAATAAAAATAAGTGGTATTGAAGGGAATATTGGCAAATTTTTGTGTTTAATAATGTATAAGAATATGTGTTACATTTTTTATTTTCAAAAATATTTAATATTTATAAAAATAGTTTAATTCAAACCTACTATTATAGTTTTTGTTTATAAGTAAAGTAAATATTTTCTAAGTATATAAATTCTACGATGCAATCTAAGTTGTTAAGAAATGTATTATAGATGCTTTGCTCTGGATGAACTTAATATAATATAAAACATCGAATTTGTATCTTAAACACCTATAGATGGGTGAAATATTTTTTGACTGACTAGGAATGTATAGCACGTTATGACCAAGAAATAATTTTAGTTATATTGCATTTGAGTAAAAAAAATAATCCCTTTAATACAACTATTTTGATATAACATCGAACATTTAAAATTTAGAGAATTTTTACTTAAGTAATAATATGTATATACCTTGTATTTATATGGTTCTCAAAATACGTATTTGGTCGAGTATGGTATTCAAAATCTAAGTTCGAAGTGACATGGTGGTTTATTTAAAATATTCAGTCAACAAATAATTTTTTTTTAAATATCTTGTTTCTCGTATAATACACGGCTTTAATGAAAACATCAATTGATTTTTTTTTTTTAATTTTTTACTTACCTTATTTTAGAAACTGTTAGAAGCAACTGTAATTCTGATGAGCACAAACACTATTTAAAAAATGTTAAATAAACTTAAAAATAAGTCATTAAACACAATATTATTGTTGAAAAACAATGTTCTCCTTTGCATTCACCTTCACAATTGGTAGGATCCAATTCGCAGACGTCTGTTTTTATATAGCCATCTCTTAAGAGATGTTATTATGGAGTGGTATAAGGACTTTCATTTTTCAAGTATTTCTCTATATAATATATGAAAAGCAAATAGTTGTTAAACCTTTTATCCATTGTCATTGCTAGGTATAGTAAGTATATTGCGTAGGTTTTACAACCAGTTAAATAAATAATAATACATAACAATAATTAACATTTTTTTTAAATGTAATGTTAATGTTAATAATTTATAATGAACAATAAATTTGTATGAACAGGGAAAAACAACGTACAATCGCGATTCATCGTCAGATTTCAAGTAAAATCGTACAGGTTTCATCAAATCCCAATACAGCATATTATTATTCGAAACACTATCGATTATCACAAAAAAGAAATATATTTATGAGTGTTTATTTTATAAAAATGTACGTATCAAATAATTATGATTTTAATGAGTAGGTATACTAGGTATAACAAGAATAAAATATAATAAAAAATCTAAACCATTATTTTATAGGCAAAATTAAGAAGAAAAAAACAATTAATCAAAAAATTATACTCAGTTATATCATAATATAAGTACACTAAGTGTAAGCAATTTAACATAAATATTAAATTCTATAAACATCAGTTAACTTCGACTTCATGAATCATGGGTGTATCTTCATAAATTATTATACAACAATTTTAACATAATTTTTATAATTTTTATTTCATTTAAATTATACTTCGTTGACATTTAAATTAATTAAAAAAATAAATAAATGCATTAAAAAATGTAACGTTGAATTCAAAATGTATTCATATGAATTGAAAAAATAAACATGTAACTGAAAATTATATGAAAACAACTATACAAATATCAAAAGTGCAGACAAATATGCCTCGTTTAGAATAATGGATTTTGAAAAATGACTGAAAAAGTATATTAATTAAATTAATACCATCGCTGTCTTAAAAAGCACCAATTTATCTATATTTTATTAAGGGAGTCTATTTAAAATTATTATTATTGGAGGGAATTGCCTTTTCTTCGTTATGTTTTTATTATTTTGATTATTTTCCACGACTATTTTCCAATGAATTCTTCACTTCCTAATTTTTAGTCATTTATGTGGAAAATATATTTTAATTTTGATGCCCAAGTTTTTACGATATCAAATACATCAGAATGTAATATGTATAATGTATATAATAAACTATCTATTGTTATTATCTATTTAAATATATATTTTTTTAATTTGTTGTAATTCTGTCTAATAATTGTCAATTGAACGATGTTATTATCGGCGTAATTACAAATTTTATGGTATATTCGGTGCATCAAATTTTGAAGAAAATGGTTTATAATAATAGTTTATTTAATTATATCCTAAATTTATTTTTACACATTAAAAAAATATAGCTGCACGTATTCACATTTAAACTTCCCTCCTTAAATATTTCTTTATTTTTTATATGTGTACATTAAAATAATCTAGATTAAACCATACATATAATATATATTATATACCTTTGGAAATTAAATTATGAAATTCTATGTTGCAATGAAACTTTATAAATAAAATTAGGTGACTGTGAGAAACTAGAGTTTGAAAAGATTATCCAATAGGAATAAACATTATAGTAATAAAATGAAAGTTATACGAATGGACCAATTTTACCTTATAAAATTAATTATTATACAATTATAATATTATTGCATATAATTTAAAAAAAAATTGTTTTCACTTCAGCTCATAATTCCATTCTATAGGTCAAAGTAACAATATTTTTTTAATATGATGGGTACACGTCTAATGCATAGATCACGGGATGTATTATATTCTTTAAATACTTGTAATATACGATACATTTTCTATATCTATTGAATAATATGCAGGAAATAAAAATAAATTTTATACATGGACATTATTGGTTTGGGTATGAAAAGCAAGTCATCATTATTAAAATATTGCCGGGAATTCGCTTCTATGTATAATTTCAACTTTTTGAGTGTACCGGTGTTTTTGTATGATGAAAAATTAATTTTTTGTCAAAAATATTGTATATAACTGAAATGAAAATATATAAGATAATATCGACGTACCATAGAATGGTGTGTATAAGTTAGTGGTATAAATAACTTTAACTTATTTTAAATATTATGAAAATGTCATTGTGTATATAAAGTCATAATATATATTATAAAGATTCCTTGATAGTGAAAAATGTTTAGTATTTATATTCTACGGTTAATATTATTTAGTTACTGCAAAAATATTAAAACCAATCAAGGAAAATATTTGAATTTGAATATCCATTTTTTTTTAATAATCTGAATTTGAATTCAGCTATCATAAAATTAATCAAGAAACAATGTGTTAATGAATTAAATTTTTTATTTAAACTTCTAAATGAATAACTTAAGAGAAATCTTGTATTACATTTTCGAGCTTTTTAAAAATTAGGTAATACAAATATTTGGTGAAAAAGTCTATAGCATTTATTATTTATGGTTATTCATTTTTGAATTACAAAAAAAAAATAATAACAAAATACATTTTGTTGAAATTGGTATGGTGTATTTCATTTTGAAGACAATAATTTTGAAAAATTTCTGAGAATATTTTACTTTTTATCCCACAAAATAAAAATTAGATTCAAATTTCAACTAAAAATCATCTTCAAAGTTTAATATGAAAGTATTTAGTATATTTACTGCTCTAAAAAGTTATAAACACAATCATTATGTAACCAATATATTCATCTCTTCGATCGAAGTCTAAAATATTTGTATGTATTTATATACAAACTACAATATGGTTATATGAATATCATCGGGAAGTCATTTTTATTTTAGCGTCAAACTACTATGAGTACTTGTATAAAATGTACCAGCTAGGTATTGTACAATATTATAAATATATATTTATATATCTTAATAGTTTTATTCTATTAAGTTCTTGAACTTAAAAAGTCTTAAAAAAGTTGGTTAGCATTACTTTAATATTGTTTCAAAAATTGCAATTTTATGAAAAAATAAAAAAATAAAACTTAATTAAATTAGTTGTATGTATTAAGTTTTTTGTTTGAGTACTTTAAAAATGTTCAATAAAACTATGATTTACACGATACATTTTAAAGGAATAAGTATTGACTGTTGTAGCTTAAATCAGTATTACGGAATAGGTAACTGAAATTCCAAACCATTAAAAAGTAGATTAAAATGTTTTATATTATTTTTGGGGATCACACGGTATTACTTTGTATGTTAAATATTTGATATAAATTGCGGTACCTACCAGCATGTTGAATTTTTTTAAATAAAACTTACGTAATTAAAAATGTATTAAGTGCTTTTTAATAGTTGCTCTGTATTTAGCTTATTTCAGGTTACGAGTGTATTAATATTAATGATAGTTCCTAGCTTCTAATTGTTTTTTTTTACTTTTTATGTTATTGAATGTTCACCTAGAATATTCGTGCATTTCGTAATAAATTTTACACTATTATACAATTATTATTATACTCAGTAGGTATATGTATGAAAATTTTTAAGAATTTAAATTTTATCTGAACATTTTTATCAAATTTCTTCTAAGAAGAAATATTTTGTTTTTCAAAATGTATCTATATAAGATCATAAAAACAAATAAAATTTAAAAAAAAAATTATACATTTTATAAAATATGTTATTTAAAAAAAATTAATTTAGACTTAGTATCTATAAATTGTATATGTTAAATATTATAGTATTGTATATTACTTGGAAACTTCAAACTAATAGTGAAATATGATAAATGTATTGAATAAAATTAAATAAAAATATAATATATTAATAAATAACTGTAATAATTATGATAATAATAACAATTAGTGTACGAGTATTTTGTACCATTGAGTTGACGAATTGAATGGATGTATTTACTATTTACAAAATTTAAATATTAAATAGAAAGCAATTGTTATAGCATTTGAAGTATGATTTTAGAGGATAACTAAAGATCGTTAAGCGGGTTTTCTTAGAATTACTGTCACTTCAAAAAAAAAAAAAAAATGTAAAATTTATTTGAATTGTGTAATAAATGTACAAACATTTTACGAGTATTACATTAAAGAAGTTTTTAAACTTAAAAAAAGCGTTTTTGTTTTTTTTTTTTAAATGCTTATGTCTAAATTGTTTAATATTTATATCTTTGTAGAGACATCCTTAATCTAATTGAAATTACATTTAACAATAGTTTTTCAAATCTATAAAATAAAATAAAATAACAAAAATTATTTTTTTATTTTCATTTGCAAATAAAATGTTTCTTTTTAATACGCATTTACATTATTTAAGTAAATATGAAAACTTTTATTTAAATTGAGTCAATAAATAAAATATTGTTATGATGAATAGCAATGAATCACCAAAATTTATTATTTAGCTTTCGTTTTTACCAAATTTACTTTATACAAGTGGAAACAGAATAGTTTTCTAACTTTGTCTAAACCATTTACCGCTGAGATCTCTTAATTAATTTAACGTATATTGGAAAAATTATAAGTACGTATTTAGGGGCTCAATAGAGAGCCAAGTATCGTTCAGTAAACAACCAAACATAGTTTACTTAATACAGTTTTATAAATAAAATTGAATCATTTCGGTTTTATTTAGAACACACAATAATTTAATCAACCATGTACGTAATTCTCTATTCGTATTGATTCAAATATCACGAATAAAGACATGCGCAAACTGTTATGATAAGGAAATAGTTTTAATGAACAAAAATAAAATTTACAAATATATGTTTAACAATATTGAAGATATTATTTCGATTTTCATGTAACATTCAGTTGAAATTAGTTAAAATTTCGTCAAAAACAGATTATTCGTAAATTAAAAAATTTAATATACTATAACTTTGCCAATTTTGTAGTTATATAAAAAAAAATTTTTAAACAAAAATATTTGTATTGCGTACCATCTGGTTTAAAAGTTTGAA